CTTGATATTTTGACTCATGAACCACGATTCAACCGTAGTGTAAAAACAGAATTTCAGGTAAGAAAATTGAGCACCCTTTTAAATATAATGTTGTCAAGATATGTTGTATTATAAAGGTAATGGTTGTTGGAATACCAAATGTTGGAAAATCGTCTCTGATAAACACTTGGCGATCATACAATATGGGAACTAAGAAGAGCGCTGTTATCGAAGGTAAGAGTGTTCATAAACATTCATGCACTTTCACAATAAAATAGTCCCACTCCACCTCTTGCGAATTTGGATTGCTCGATCATTCTTGCTTCCTAATGCTTGTGGGGAATTGAAGCAAGAGTTTAAGAAGGAATAGTCATTTAAAACCGTATTATACTAAGCAAATTGTTCATTGAGCAAATTTCGTATAAGAGTAGGAAATCAAAACGAAAAACGCACTAATGTGCACTGGGAAAGTTTTATAAATAAGATTATAACTATCGAGAAATCTTGATATACTCTTTCTCACAGAAATATGATTAGGTTCCGTTCATTGCGTTTCTTTAGTATCCTCACAGCCTCTTTATACCTGAGTCTGCAATGCGTGAAGCAAACAGTTATGAGTAGCTTTATTGTAGTGGTGGCAGACAAAAATATTCTGGGATGAGCTAAATCGAGAGTATAGATATAGGTAGTGGGCATAGGCAGCCATGACGCGCTTTGGCGCCTACTTGCGGTTTCTATCCTTAAACTACTTTATATGATAAAAAATGTCAATACGTCTAAAATTAGTAGAAAAAATTGATTGGTGCTTAACCGGGCGTGGAAGTTCTTCTTTACGAGGGAAATCTCGATTGTTTGCCTAAGTGCGCCTATTGTTGTGAAACTAGCGTTCATCAAAGGTAGGACTAGGATGGAGTAAGCGCTTTGAATGTCTTGTGGGTAATTTTCATCGCGGATAGACAACAAGTCCATCATATCCTAAATGCTAGCGCTTAAAATAAACCGATGCGCATCCTCAGGCGCCAGGCCCGGTGTTACGGTACGAGTTCAAAATCGAGTACGTGTTATGGATAAACCACCTATGTATGTATTGGACACACCAGGAGTTCTGTCACCGTCTACGAGAAATGTGGATGAGGTCTGCCCTACCTACTCTATCGATTTTACCGTGCCACAAATTTCATTTTAGGTAATGAAATTAGCTTTGTGCGATTTGATCCTTGAAAGTGCGACAAATCCTAGATATGTTGCTGATTATCTACTTTACTGGTTGAACAGGTAAGTCGTACTGGCGTAGCTTCTCTTCAAATTTTAACCATTTTCAGAACTGGCGATTTTTCTTATTTAAAACATCTGGAGATACCTGGTGACCCTACTGATGATATCGACAAGCTATTAATAAGAATATGTATGACTAAGGCAAGCCA